CTTCCGGACCGTCATCTTGGTCGAACGTTATCCAGCACCGGCTCACGGGACAACCGACAAACTGCGCTTGGTGCGGCTGAATTATTTCCCAGACGAATCCGCGGCCGTTATACACCAAAATCCGTTTGACCGGCGTCTCGTCGTACTTGTAGCCCTTCGGCACGTAAGACATTTGCTCGCCGACCCGGTCGCCCACGGGCAGTTCTTCGAGCCACACCGTCCTCGTACTCGTAAACGCGTTGTCTTGCACTATTAGACAGAATAATACGTAGGGACGTGTACAATATAATAATGTAATATAGCATTCGAACACCGAGGCAAGTCTATCTTACTTTTCGGATAGCAGACCGGCAAAGGCGCCTAGAAAAATAAAATGTCGTTGTACAAAGCGGCAGTGTACTAGCCTATATTGATATTATGAATTTCCATTAGGTTAAACCCGATAATCTTATACCTTATAACTATTAGAGACAGGATTTAAATATGTCCTTAAAATCCACAAAAAAGCACACGACAACGTCGAAAAAAATCACTCGACAAAGGCAAGTTAAACGTAAAAATAATAGAGGTGTTTAATAATTCTCTCTTTAATGGAATTAGTTTATAAATAATATTCTCTTATCCTGCAAAAATGATTAATAAAAGGTGTTTTTTTTTTTTCTATAATACGTAAGATTACCCGAAAATTTCTAAAAGTATTCACTTTAGGAATTGATTTTTCCGCCAAATTTTCGTTTTTCTTCCCAAAACCAATTGAAATCTCTGTTAAAATAATAGGATAATACATAAACAAATCGAGGACATTGTTTTTCTCGGATAACATAATAAAACTTAAACAGATAACATGAACATGTAATGTTTTTAGTGTTAGACAATTATTGACAAATTTCAAATGAAACCATCATGCAAAATTAATAATATTTTTATCTCCCATAAACAGAAATGTATATAATATTATGTTGCTACACAATACCATTTGATGCATAGTAGTATATTGCGTAAGTATTAATCAAAATATTTTAAAGTGAAGAAGATGGGTTAATACGTACACTAGGGGAAGTCATAAGCCCCAGCTATTATTCTTGTAATATTCTGGAACCTAATATTGTATCTTATGAAAAAAACCAATTAACTGAGGTACCGGCCTAATTGAGAATTATCGTTTTTACATAAAAAAAAAATATAACAAACAACAACCATCACTTTTTTAAAAACGGCGACGACGATATATAGATATACAACCGCTACTAAAAGTATACATATTACGAACATGCTCCATCTTTTGTTATTCCCGAACCTTTTCCACGTTTTTTAAAAACCGTATATTATAAATTGAACATCTTGCTAATGTTGTGAAAATAGTGATAAAACGAAATATCGTGCAATACCAAATTTAAGAAAATAATTAAATACGAGTAATTAAACCATGCGCTATTGTAAAACAAATGATCCGGTGTGTTTCGACACTATACTGTGAACCACTGCATTAGCCTATTGTAAAGTGTGCGTAATTGTGTGTAGATGGGTAGGTATTTGTAATTTTAGTTGGCAAAACATCTGTACTTACTCGTTGTTTTTTCATGTATAAAAATAGGTAATAAATTATTTTTCAATTATGTTCCACGAGACATATATTATTGGAATTTAAAAATGTGTTTGATTATTTTAGGGATTTTCGTTTAATATAGTACATAAAAAAACATTTTTCTAAATATATACAGATGATTCACTAAAAGCGTACTCATCCCATTTTTTTTTTTTTTTATTTGATTAAATTTTTAATATGTTCAAATTCCAAATTTTGGAATTTTTAAGTGTAGTTAAAGCTAATATTTTCGAACACTTAGAATACTATATTATTTAAGGAGTGTTCTGTGGTGATACCAACTTTGGTTTTTCAAATGAGAAAATATACTAAAAAAATCAATAGATAGATCGAGTATTACTTGAAACAAATGTTGATGTTAGAATTTTTGATTTCCGTCAACCCGTTGACGAGATATTTGACTTTTAAGTTTAGGTAGGGGGAGAGTAGTGGAGAACTAATAAAACGCCAAGAGCCGTGCTGCCACACAAATGATACTCCACTACTCTCCCACTATAGCTAAACGTAAAAGTGAAATATCTCGTTAACGGGTTGACGGAAATCAATCATGTTGACACTAAAATGAACTATATACTATTATAAAGTTTATTCAAAAGTATATTAAAAAACATTAATTTACTATACATTTTAATAATTTATCTGTGTGAAATAGTATGTTTAATTTAATATATAATTAAGAAATAATAATTAACAATTTTGATTAAGGGGGCCTTGACAGTTTTAGATTAAATTTAGAAACGCCATGACAAAAAAGTTTGAGAAGTACTCACTTAGAATATTAAAAAAATCGCAATAAATATTATTCCATACAAGGAAATTTGATGAAAAAACTCCTGAGAAAATCGAAAAATTACGTCATTAAAGTACCTCCTCACACCGATTTCCTTTCGGAAAACGTGCTATACTTAAAAATCGGAGCAAGATTTCTGGTAGAAAAGTTTGCTCACATATAAAAAAAAACAAATAAATAAATAAACAACATTGTAAAACCATAAGCTTCTTCGCTCCACTTAGAATCTAAAATACGGTTCATTCACCCACCAGTCCCCCATAGGAAATAGCTGAGCACGTCACTGCACCACTGTTATGTATGGCACAAATCCCAGTCCCTTAAACAATGCTGAAATACGCTGCTATATACTATATTTGTTTATACATGTTTAGTTTTAAGGTCATAGCTGGGTGTGTGTGCAGCATTTTTTTTTTATAATACACGTGTAACACGATTTTTGAATATGAATAGTTTATTATAGATGATGGAGTCGTATTCAGACGTATTTTCGTTTATAAAAAAATATATGGGTACGTTATTTGCTGTTAGCAACGTAAAGACGTATTCGCATGAACACGCCGTAATCATTTTTCTTGTACGAAATTACATATTTTTGTCAATTTTAAAATTCCTTGACAAAACTGATACTCCAGATGAACGGTCCTGTACGTAATTTAAAATTCAATTAATATATCAAACAAATATAATAAAAAAATTTTTATTATGTAACAATACGACAGTCCACTTCTGATTGATTTTAGAGAAACGCGTTACTTGCCGAATTGTATCGCTTTACGGTCTAAAAAACAAATTAATTTCTTCTAACATTAAATTAATTTTTTTTTTCGCATTTTACTATTTGTTTCACCAGTTCAATTTAATTTTCGTTAACTTTTAACCGATGACTATTTAGTAAGTGGAACTTATAGTTTAACAAGTTAATATTTGCATTGACTTGTCCAACTTTGTATAACACCTCTTCTGGTTTGAAGAACCATCTGATTGGTTTGCCGCAGATCTCCAAAATGTCTTTCATTTTTTACTTAAATTCTTGTGACTGTCGACCACCCTTATCCATGTCTATGGTAATTAGTTTCGTGTACTCGATGCTGCTCTTCCAATATGACCTCCTACATCCTCTTGACCTCTCCTAAAACGGTTTTCGTAAAACTATAGTGGTACATGTTCTATATTATTTTTTCCTTTTTAATGCTATTCCGTTGAGTATTTCTTGGTTTGCCATTCTTTGTGTACATTGAGCCGTAAACAATATTTTCAATAGTATCATACTTTAAAAGCCTCTAATTTTCCTTCTGGCTTGACCCAAATTGTTCGTGTTTTCAGCCATTATCTACATAATGACACACTTCACACAAATATAGTTTCAAGAAATCTTTTTTTTTTTTTACATATATATTTCTGTTTAGCAAATAATTTGTATACTGTATTTATCCAATAGGTATTTATAGTTTATACCCACAAGATAAATAATTGAAAAATAGTATTTTTTTTTGACTACTACTTGCAGAAAATTGCAATTTATTTTTTCTATCAAATATACTAATTGTACAGCATATCTGCACATGATATTACCTTGCACACAGGTAATATTATTATTATCAATATCGTTTTGAAACTCTTAACGCATTCGCGTTCGGCACACAATCTATAAATCATTCTAGTTTATCGATAATGCAATCGTTAAAAAACACTTTTAATATTATAATCGGTGAATAATATGCAATTGTTTTTAAACATCGAAAATAACAGGAGAATAACAAAATAACAAATCAATTACTACAATAATATATTACTACTCGTGTATATTTATGTTCGTTGATTTTGCAGTACATAGGTAGGCAACAATAATAATATGGCTACAATTTATTCCATTAGGAAATCACGTACACAGAAACCTATGTTTAGATACATCACAATATACTTAGGTAAATAATTTTAACAACACCTCGGATGCATATACAATATTTTTCCAAATAACCACGCTAAACCGACATTTCACTAAGAACTTAAAATTAAATTAAAATTTGTATTTTTTTTTTTTTTTTTTTTTTGATTATTGTCACATTCCCAACATTTTATAACTATAACTACAATAATAATAATAAAAACAAAATTATATAAATTACTAATCACACTAAAAGTAAACCGAAAATAGTATATTGGCGTATTTCGTATATACACAGTCAAAACTTACATACCTAATAATATAAATACCGTCCGATTAAATGCAATCAAATTTAAAATGTATAACATGTGTACATTAGGTGTCTGGTGTATAGACGAATTAGGTAAATTTAAACTATCACAAAAAATAATTTGACTAGACCTCCGTCGCATGGCAAATCATCCAAGGGTGATATTTGTGGTCGACGACAATCTCTGTTTAGGGAAACCTTTGGCGTATGGTTTTCTGGCGTTCGTGCTCAAATAATAGATGCCCCGGGCTCTACGACAAACAAGAAAAAAAATACATACTAAAATATAATTTTTTTATTTTCACGGCGTTATTAGGAATACAGGTAAGTACTTACTTGTGAGATACGTGTTCGCCCATCAAAACGTACTCGGACTCCGGTGGATCGCAAAGGCCCAGATTAAACAGAAATCGATTGGCGCAAGGTAACGCCCAGAAGCCGATGTTCGAGTTGATCGATTCGATGAAGTACGGAGTCACTTTAGTATGATCGCACGATAGCGTTTCTGTAAACAACCGAGAAAAGCAACGCATTTATACTCAACGCTCTATGAGAAATACTATTACTATTACAGTAATTGATAATCGATAACGTGCATTGTGAGAAAACAATAAACCGCAGAATAAATTACGGGAAAAATTATACGTATTTGGCTCTAAACCAGTAGTTATTTTCGTCCGAGTTTGTGCAGCATTGTAACACGTTTACGCGTTTATCAGCTTTACGAAATTGACCGAGTCTACCGATTTATAACCTTCACGCGAGTCTAATATTTTGAAATTACAATTTGTACGAGATTTAACAATTTCACGTGATCGATATTATTGAAATCGAAGAGACATTTTAATTTTGCCGTGCACGATGTATTTATGAGTAATAATCATTCTATAATAAATACTATTGTATAATCGAACGTCCTCAACGCGTGGGAAATATGACCGAATGATATTATACAACGGGACCGTCAGCATGATATATAGTGAAGTCGCTGAATCGTGAAAAAAACAGTACATTTTTTATTGTCCAACGTGATGCGCGGCAAATCAAACGGATACAAGAAACGATTAACTTTCCGGGCCGACCGGACGCGGGAAATGAAAAATATTTAATTTTTTCCCCGCGGCATTATAAAACTAGCATTTTTATAAACTATGCGTTTTTTTTTTTTTTTTGTTTATTTTTTTTTTTCTACAAACGACTTACGTATGATGCTATCGCTGGCACAGCCAGGCTGCGAAGTGCCTCCGTTGACGTAAAAATCTGCGTGACCGCTGGCGCCCCATTGGCCCAAAATTCCGGCCGCCGTGTGTATGATGTCCACGAAATGTGCGTCCGTCGGGTCGAGGTCTCTGGACCGGTTGTTGGTGGTATAAAACAAAATGGTTGGATCCAAGCCGGTGATCCGTCCGAGTTTTCCCGACTTGATGTAATTTGCCGTCAGGCCCGCTATATGAGCTCCGACGCTGTATCTGTGATGGACAAATAGGTATACGTCGTGACAATGATAAAAATACAATTATATTGGGTATTGAACGAGAAGAAAAAAAAAATCGATTTTGACGGTCGTGTGGGTAATTGCGGCGTGTCGGTAAATGAAGAACCGGGCCAGAAGAAATACCGCGAAAAAAATCCAGTGACACAACCTGCAGGATTCACCTATGGGAGGAAGGTACGATTTCAAGCAAAATTTCTAGAAATGTTTTTGGAATGATTGATTACTAAATAGATGAATTATGGTCTAAATTACAGTTGAATGTGTAAAACTGTATTAGAAATTATGTAACTATAAGTTTTACGTTGAATTTATAAAATAAATGTCTTGGGGAGGAGTGGGGTGATTATACCCACCCTTGGTTGGATTCCTGGTTAAATCTGCTGACCTTTCAGTACAATTTTTAAAGGATTTTTAGAAATCGCATATTGTTCTGTGTGCTCTCGATTTATAACAGACCAAGCTAGAAATCCGTTTTTTTACATTAGAAAGTACAGAAATCGAACATTTAAAATACATATATTGCATATTTCGTCTATTTTTAGGGGGGAAAAAAGCATGTTTCATCGATTTTCATTAATTTTCGTACGCATAATATGCAATATGCATATTAAATATTTTCTTTTTAGCCTATGCATTTTCATTAATATTGAATATGAAATTAAAAATTGTGTAACGCGTGTTTTTATTTAGGTATTTATTTCTATCGTGCATGGATGGGTATTTAAAGCGGTCGACGTGGTCGCTTTTATTTTATTGTTTTTATCCCGTACACAATTTACGAACTGATTTATAATTATTATTATTTTTAATTTTGATTATTTGTTTTGCTTTTTTATTCAATTTTTTGCATTGACGTGCGTATTTTGCCAAATTTACATCTTATAACTTCCGAGCCCTATTTATAACTATAATATTACGCGATGAACTGGTAAATGTTTGTGTGTACGTTACCCCATCAGATGTAGTTTGTCGGGCGGAACTCCGCGGGGATGTTCGGCCAGATAGTTTGCCAGCTGAGCGATGCACATTCCGCAAAATCTGGGCGCCCATTCCACTTGGTTCAGACAAGGCACTTGGGCCAACGACGAATAGTCCACTATGATTATGTTGTAGTTGCTCCTAGTAAAATAAGCTGCGGTGCGACAAAACGGTTTTGAAATCCGAAAACGACGTTACACGAGGATTCTGAGTGCCTACCCATGCTAACTACAGTGACAGTACTCGACTTACCATTTCGGAGATCAGTGCTCGGCGACAGGTTTCTACCGCCTTGGAAGCCGTGAATGATTATTTTGACCGGGTGCTTGGGGTTAAAATGAGACTTGTACAGCGATTCTGGATCGGTGACGTCCAACAAGTCGGGATTCATCTGCGTGAGTCTGAAACGATATGACGACGGCGAATAATTAGGCGTCAACCAAAGTCACGGCGAAAATATCATAATGCACAATCAGTGAACGTAAAAAATATACGGCATCTTATTAATGTATACACAAGTTCGATGTTATGTAAATTGCGTTTTCTTTTTTTGTTTATTTTATACCTACCTAGTGTACAGGAAAAACTGTATTTTCGGATGAGGGCACTTGAACGGAGGTTCGACGCATGACGCGTTGGAGCCGAGCAGGTCTCTGATCGACGCCGGCGGCTTCGGCGTGGTCGGCTTTTGCGTGATCGGCTTTTGGCTGGCGCCACCCGGCTGTTTAACGGTCGGGCGGCCGATGGCGTTATTGCTTGCATTGTTGTTGTTTTGGATGTTTATCAGACGAGCTCTGGGTAACGGTATCTGAAAACTTTCGGGGTTTTGACACAGTATTTCACCTGAAACAATAGACTTTTGTACATCGTGCGTGCGGTGCCGCCGTGTATTCTCGATCCTAATATATTCATTAACGTTTATTTTTTTTCTTTATTATTTCCAATGGAAATATATTTAGAGAAATATTAAATTTGTACTTTCATCCCTTAAACACGTGAAAATATATATTACATATTTTAGTCTAACATACATAATAATGTATAAAAAAGTCAAAAGCAAAACAAAATTTACAATTCAAACAGAACAATTAGCATGCGAAAAAACACAATTTGACACCATATATATGTACGAGTACAATAATACGCTATATTTATGCACGTAGCTAATCAAAGATCGCGTATCAAAGATTATCAAAAAATTAATAGAGTAAATTCAACACAATTGGCTTTTTCCATCAAACATATAACGTACATGTACCTACCTATATAGCGATGGTACACAACCGGTGGTCCTTGGACCTGCTGTTAGTTGCCTGTCACCTACGATTTTTGTACATTTTTGTTCTACTTAATAATTTTTAGAATAATTTCATTGTAAGATCATAATATATTCAATTCCAGAGAATTTCTTTATTTTGTTTTGTTACGTATTTACATAAATACATTGTGTAAGCGACGATTTTTGAGTCTGCTCAGTGCTCAAATCAAAAATAAACCAAAGGGCAGCAACAGTCAGTAGCTATACCAAGATGATTTCAATACTAGTTAAGGAAAATCAAGCTCAAAAATTGTATTAGGCTCTCATCAATTATAATACCTATACAATGAATTATTAATTTAATCCATCTGTGGAAAATAGTTCAAAAAAATATCAAAAAAAATATACACATCTTTTAAATCGAAGCGCAGGTTTACGACCAATTCAAAATTCTCTGTGTGATCCGTAGGGTCAAAAACGTGGGGTCAAAAATGTACGTGTATAATCGTTTAAATGATCCTATATTTATTAAGGGTATAACATTTTTAATGTATCGTAAAGAAGCTTGCGTTAATTATTAACGAATCGTAACAATAACGGGAGTAATAGCTAAAATCAAAATTTACTCGAAATTCGATCGCTGATCCCCAACGGTAAAATTACAATCACTCTGTATATTATATTTGTACATACCTACAATGATGCACAGATATAGTAACGTTCGGTAATATGCGATTTTATGGCCAGCCATGGCTCTTTCATGTTCATGCTTGATGTCAAATCATTCTGAAAACGAAACGATATAGATAATGTTAATATTATTTTAAACAGTGGCGTAAATAGGGGAGCGCAGGGAATGCAGCAGGGACGGCGATAATCCCCCCCCCAGATTTCCAAAAATATATTCATTAGTTAAAATCAAAATTCATCAAAACTCGTGAATCAAAACTCGTGGACGTTTCGCATTAACAACGTTGCGAATTCAAAAGCTCGTAATGTAAAACTTTAACTGTTATGACCGTCATAGGTCTGTGTATATTTACTTATATAATGCAATACAAATTGATAAATAAAATACACTATGTGCCTAATTTCTTTTTTTCTACATTCAAACCGAATTATAAAAAGGGGCCCTTTAATAGTTTTTCACATTTGGGTGGAATTTTTTTTACGTAGCCGCTGGTTTTAAGACCGATATAAAAATGATATTGTTCGATGTCACGTTTTTCGTCCCGAATGTTAATGCATTTTTTTTTACATAATAAAGTACAAAGAAAAGTTTTATCAAAGTCGACGAGTGTGTGTGTAATAACCCGTCAAGGACGTATGATAAATAATTTAGAAAGCTTACGAATCGTTAAAAAATATCCTATTATACATTGCATTTCGGTCGCTAAAAGATTCGATCGATATAAGCTTTAAAAATAACGACTATTATTTATTATTTTTTTTTTTTTTTATTGTTGTTAACATAATACAATTATTAGTGAAACGTGTTGCGTACAGTTCGCACTTCGGCGATAGATATATCACTCATATGACGATTGTACGACGTATAATATTATAGTTGAAATAAAACTTAAAGGGACGGTAAAAAAATAAATAAAAATCTATGTACAGGCGTGGACGTTCAACTCGTTTCACACATAATACACTCGTATACAAAATTATACCGGTGTGTTATAATATTATTGTATAATACAACTGAATGAAATAAAACGATTCAGAGTTATAATTTAAGGCTGCCTACAATGTGTTTCTTCGACGATTTATTTTTCCCTTATTTGAAAAACCCAGAGAAAATACATTTTTTTACATCGTCATGATAAGAGTTTATTTTCACCAATAATCAGAATATAGACGAACAAATTTATACGGGGTAATACGAATCGAAAATAATTATTATAATAAAACGCCACCGCGGTAATAGTGAAATGCTATTATAAAAGTGCACTTCGCAGAGAATCTAAAAAAAATCAAATCCGAATAAAATATTTTTTGCACGTGCGTTTATAAATTGCTGAATTCAGTGATATCCATCCGAACTCCTGGGGTAAAATAAAATGTACACATGACCAGTAACCACAAATACGAACAATCGCCTTTTTTTTTATATTGCAATACGTTAAAATATGGTTAAATTTTCAAATGTTCAAGCTGATAACCTACAACCCACACAGAAAAAAAGCTGTGGGATTAACCCCAGTAAGACCCCCTGATATCGGCGACATTGGCTGGATAAAATGTCGTCTCGTAAAGTTATAAAATATTAAAACCCAACATTCGCAGTATAATTGCTGGTATTCCAACCACGTCGTGTGCCGTCCCGTGTACTTTTTATCGCATCTATTCAGATATCGAGCGTTTGGAACATCGACAACGTGTATGGTACATCCAAAATGTAGCGAGAGATTTCCAGAGTAGCGTTGAACTCGTCGGCTTTTCTCTCGTATAGGTTACCACGGTTTGTTAATTAATTATTCGATGTTTTCCGCGCAATATAATTGTATCTAATATATCTGTGGACCCGGCACGATGACACATCACATCGCTACAACACCGCCTTAAATTTATCAGCGCCAGTAGCGTATTTAGGATTTCGCCAAGGAGGAAGACATTAAATTCGGAAATTACAAATAATTTATTGTAATTCAAACTGCCCGACGGTTACTTACTGAAATAAAACAACTATTTCATAGTAGGTATAATTGTCAATATAATTGATTCACTATTTAGACAGTAATCTAGAACCTCCTTAGTGTTATACAGCAGTTTGGATACGTTTCGTTTTCGTTTTGAACAAAAAAAATTATGTACGTTCAAGTTTTCTCGATTCACGGAGTCCGTAAGTACCAACACATTTTTAATGTTTTCCGACTACAAAATTGAGAAATTTGAAATTAAAAAAAAAAACCAGTTATCGTACATAAACAATATTAGATTAAAAAAAAAAGTCGAGGGTAAATATATCCCCTTAAATACGACACCCGTTTGTTTCTGCAACGAGCGTGGTAAACTTTTACCTACGATGACCTTGAAATAATTACAAAATTGACAGACTAACTAAAAACTAACATTTTACCAACGCGATCGATCTATATTAGATTCAAGGTGGCGAACTCTTAAACTCGTTTTAAAATCACAATTTAGTGGTTTGTATTTATTATTTTTTTTTTTTTTGGAAAGTCTTTATTTTATAGAAGTTTGTATCCCTCGCAATCATCCGGATTATTCCGTACGCACGTGTATGTAGCCGAGGTGATCCCCCTGTTCGACCGGTACCTATACCTACGACCTGATCGCGGTGATGTAAGGAACCCATACGGCCGTACAACCGGGTCAAGGTTGCTATTATTGCTATACTATTTATTTTTTTTTCTACGTTATTAATATCGTTTCTTCATTACGATTTCGAGACGATTGCTGAAAATATAATGCCGATTCACGCGATCGCTACTATGAAGTTCAATCTTCAACCCCCCCCCCCTCCCCTGGAAATTGTTTTAGTTATAAACGAGCAACGCACTCAGTTAATTATATACGCGTATATAATACCGAACTAATTAGACCGTAATGTAAGAAAACAATATGTACAAAAAAAATTATACCGACGTCCTTGCCGACTATCCCGCAGGTCAAACTTATAATATCATATCGGTTCGATGTCAACATACCGCATATCGCGATGACGGGAAACTCCATCAGCTTTGGAATTAATGGAATAATAATAAATGAGTCGATATTGTGGTTAAATGAGTCAGGTGTTTTAGAAAAAATAAAAAAAAAACCAGTCGTAAAAATGAAATCGCGAAAATCGAAAAGTTTTTAACGACGATGCTACACCGGACTTTTGTCGCTGTTTATTTAAAACGGACATAAAGCGAACACGTGTGTTCGTACTTCCGACAGTTCTCATCGAACTCTAATAGTCTCGATGCCAAAATTCATAGAGGGATTTTTTTCTTATTTTCGCTATAACATTTTATATTAATATTTACAAAAACGTACATCGATGGCAGAAAGTTCAATAAGACTTCTAAAATAGAGCATTGTAAAATAGTTGTTTCCGATTTTTAAAATACTAAACTAAAAAAGCTGATACTCTGATAGGTGTGTCATTGTTTTTAGAAAAAAGTCGGAAAGGACGATGTATAGAATAATTCTACATGCAATAATAAACCACTGCTAATAAAAAGCGATCCTAAGCAGATTATTATTAGTTGTATTTTTTCCCTTGTTGCCAAGGTAATCCAGAAATCAAAACAAAAAATACACTAAAAATTGTCTGTTTTTCCCATTAATTAAAAAAGCTTCAAAGAAAATCAAAAATATTATCTCCTCGACGGTGAGTGACCAGGTCAAAAATTCTACCAGATAGTTTTTGATATGGTAGAAAAGTTTATTTACACACACAAAATTAATAAATATTTAGTATACATTTGTATTTTTAAATTGTTCAGTACGGTTATAATTACATATAGATTGTATTTGTGTATTAGATATCGAAAAATCTCTCGGTGAAAACATATTATAGTGAATTATAACAGTACTTTTAATTTTGGCCTGACGAACACTGTTGGAAGTAAACGAAAACACATTACGTTTTTTGATAAATCCAGTGTTGGAAAGTACTCGAGCGAATGTATTTTAGTTTAAAGTATTCAAATACTTTTTAAGGACTCAGTTATGTATTTTAAATGCTTTCGAAAACAAATATCTTTTTGTGTTCGTTTAAAAAAATACCGTTTACAAGACTGGCTGTATCGCATGGGTAACGTCCTCTTAAACGATGCAAACATTTATTCTCAACGTTGAAAACCCATTATAATAATAACGATATTTATAACCCATGTTTTAACTATAGTACAACTTACGAATAATTTGTTATAGAAGAGACCTTGACATAAATCGTACACCAATTTGTTTTAAAAAAACAATGTTATTATTATTATACAACGTCATAATCTAATTCAGAGTTATCGACGAAAAGCGTTGAAGATCCGAAATAATTTGTGACTCTTACGACACAACTGTAATTACAATAATATTCTATTAAAATAACCTGTACCCATACCTACTACACCAATATTCGTACACCGATAAATATTATATTATAATGATATTATTCGGGGGAAACTGCAAATTATGACAATTTCAAACGATATGAAAACGTGCAAAGCGCATTTATGAAAAATAACCGCAGTCAAATATTATTGTGCGCTGCACAATTTACGTCCTCGGGATAATAAGTGTAAAACGACCGCGTTATCAAAACGCATATTATAGGTGCATAAAGATCTAAACGATTTCGGTACGCATTGAAATATTGTTTAGTCATTTTTTTTTTTTTTTTTCATAAACGTTACTGACGAAAAAAAAAATAAAATTAAAAAAAAAATGACAATACGAGACGGTTTCTCGTAGCATGTGCGTACTGCAAGCGCAATAACCGTTATTAAACATATCGTTCAGCGGCGAACTCATTGTTCCCTACTTTTTTTCTCTTTACCGCGAGATATTTTCTAATTTCACGAAATTAATTCGCATCGTTATTATTATAGTTATTATTTTTTTTTTTTACGGAAGACGGAAAGTACGGTCGCCCGTACCTACGTACTATCTACGCATATCTTGCGCGGGGATCTCGCCGCAAGTGAAATTCACTCGGAATTAGGCATTATTATATAATTGCGCAACGCCATATAATGTTATTGAAATATTACGAACTCTACAATGTCTATTGTATTTGTTTGTTTGATAGCCGGTGTACATGACGCGATTAAAATCGATACCCACTCTGGCACGCGTTAGTCAATACAGCTAATTAAGACAAATTCACAGTGCGATCACTAACATAATTATTGCGCACGATGCGTAATGCCTAAACGTACAACGCCTGCCTATTTATAACCAATCGCCAATTAACGCGTGTGCAATTATTTTTCGTTATTCCGTGATTCCCGATTAAATAATACACAAAAAATCGGCGGCGCCAAACGGGGTCAAGACCGGACCATATCCGACTGTGTTTTTAAGGATGTGTGCTGCGGTGGTGGCTGACGAAGAACATCCATCTCCCGTCAGATATGTAAAATCTAAAGTTTTCACTGGCCACGCATGCTTTGGTTATAGCATTAGCATATAATGTATTCGAATGCGCTCGTGTTCTGAGTGATGAGAACGAAATAACATTGAATCGTGACTTCCTTAAGCCGGACGTATATGATTTTATAGCACGCAAAAATCGATAAACACGAGTACATTCTGGATAAAATTTAATGAAAATGACGAAACAAGCGGTACGATTGTGCACAACTTACAACAGCGAGGAATTTCGATAGATATAAATGCAGTGACGTGCCCGGGAATGTTCAATGGGATAGAACGTAACAAATAAAAATCGTGAATAAAGAGTAAAATCGTCTTCTCTGCCCAACTCGACTATGACAATTGTTAATTTAAAAGCCGGATTCCAAAAAAAAAAAAAGGGTAAATTTCTCATCAATACATCAAGCTTTTCCTCGGAAATCGGTTGAAATTTATGAGTTTCGATATTAAATTACTCATATTTTTTTTTGTATTATTAAGCCAATGGGAGGAACATAACCCCTAACCTCTCTCCTGCGCACGCCACTGTATAAATATAGGTTTTCGTAGATGGGAGGTTACGGAGGACGAAACCACCTCACGCGCATAGCTAAATATTGGTAGATAACTGGAGGTGAAGACTATTACCAATGACTAATTGGCCAGATCATTTCAAAACTGATTCGGCACCGCTGTTCTAAAGAGTACCTGCCTAGATAACAAAATTAAGATTGTTTTGTTTCTTTTTTTTAAATGCTTATACGTGATTCGTAATGTTCAGAAACAATTCGACATTTCAGCGCGCCAAATATACTATAAAACTTCAATTCAAATTAATTTTGAAAATATTTTCACGTGTAGTGTGTACTTCTTGTTAATTTTTTTTATCGAATTACCGAAAAAATTTTAAATAGCAATTAATATTATAACAACGCTGAATTAGATGCATATTATACTCGCAGCACACAAACTACTCGTCGCGTGTGCGGCGTGTCCGTAAAACAAGAGCTTTCATGTCGCTTTCATGGTTCGGTTAGGTCAGCTTTCATGGTTCTAATCGATTTGACGGCTTAATGTTGTGTATTTTTTTTTTTTCGAAACATCAATATGTCATTAAATTTTCCGTTTTTGAAATGAATACTAATTAGATAGTATCTATCGGAAACATAATAATGTCAACGGCACCGATAATAACAGTGTGTAGGCTCGTTGGTTTCGTTAATGGCTGGAAAATGTTTACAGAACGAGACGGTGTTATTGTATAATATTATACAAGAACTTCAAACGCATACTTACAATGCGAGACTTTACGGGATTACATCATAATACGAAAAATACATATATTATATATGATAATGAATAATTTGTTTCGACAAGTATGTCCCTCTGATTATTCTAACGCTAAAGTGGATTAGGAAAAAATATGTCTCTATAAACTTTGAAGTAGTTTTATTATTCAATTGCCATAGTACAGTATTCATTGAAGAATATTAAAAGTGTCATTTTTCACAATAGTATTGTACATTAGGTGTATGCATGTTTTTTTTTATTGACATTCTTTAGAGGAAAGTAAAACTTGTTCGAAAAATTGATTCTTACATTTTCATATTTCTGTCGTAAATTTATACAAATTTACAACCTATAAAAAAAAAGGCTGATGTCTTAGTTGCTAAGATAGGATACACAAGGTAATTCAGTGTGTACGAAATTATTGTAAGTGAAAATAATGATTCTGAGTTGTGTAGTGCATTAGTCATTATTTTTCTCTTGTTGTCAAGATCAACCAGAAATCAACAAAAATAACTAAAGAAAACCGGATATACTTCACACCATGGGTGCAGCACCGTTGTAGGTGGGAAGTTGAGAAGGTAGGGTATATACGAGAATTTAATGTATAGCTGCACGCAACGATTAATCATTGCTAACAAAAAACGATTCGTAATTGTATTTACGTCATTGATTTTCGTCAAAATTTGTTATTCAAATTCTTACAAGACTAATTTTACATTACAATCAATTTTTTTTTCTTGGCCTCAAAACACGACTTTATAAGTAACCTACTGTTAAATTTTCAAACATTTCTTTTTGATCTAACAATTTTATCCACAGAATACCTATCGAATACAAATTATGTAAAAAAACTCGCAAAATTAAAATGTCTAGCTCAAAAACGGCTGAAATATTTTAAAAACTTGACCGCGTCTAGAAAAGACAAATATAGATTTCCTGTCTAAACTTTAAATCTTTACGAATATTTTTAACTTAATCACAACAATAAAACAAAATGTAAAATAATACATTTTCGTTTTTCCCAATTATTATGAAAATTGCTTGTAAATTTTAAAAATACCTGCTTAAAGTACCAACCGAATAAAATTTCTTTGCAGAAAATGTACTGCACTTGAAAGTCATTTGGTACAAAACATGTACACAGATAAAGAAAAAAATACTAATAATAAAAAAATCAATATCATTGTAGAACCAAAAAGTACTTATATAGCGGACAAATTTGAAAAATGTGATTGTGTTTTAGTATTTTAATCAGCTATATCTGTAAGATAGTAGGGTTTTTTAAATGCTGCACGTTTATAGTTCAAAAATGACAATAAAAGCTTTTTAAAAGAAATAATAATAAAATCACGATTGTAAACGTTTGATTTTGAATTCTAAGATCCATTCGGAATCGTTTAAGGAATAGGTACATATCTACGTTCCAAGTCTGTAACGAAGTGATGATCAATAGTCGATTAATACTCGATCCAGAGAGATTAAATAAGATATCGAAAGACATTTCATAGTTTATATGTTCTGTTCATGGAATTGAAGTACCTAAACATTTATCAAAAGTTTCGCGGGAAAACATTTTCCATTCGTAGATAAAACATTTACATTTTAATAAAAGCCAATTCTGAGTTTTTCAAGTTTTTGTTATAAGCCTAGCGAATTGTTTTAAAACTATTGTCGAATAAATACCGAGCCACTTATATAACTGCACTCTAATATTACATAAACAAAATAGCAAAACAAATAATTAAAAAATAAAAAGTTGGGAAGGTAGGATACATAAGGCTATTTAATTTATATCTGTAAGCAACGACAAACCATTGCTTGATGAAAAACGATTCCGAGCGCAGTTTGGTAATACATAATTTGAAGTGCCGTACATTTTTTTTTTGCAATTTTCGTTTAAATTTGATTTCAAAACGCTTATTAAAAAAAAAAGTCGTTCGACGATTTTGAAAATTTCACCACGTCTAAGTAAGTCCAATATAAGTATTATTAACAAATTTCAAGTCTCTACGTGTATTTATAACCGAATTACAGTAAAAAAAACTCCCAAAAATTTAAATCCCTTAAAGCTCAAAAGTGACTTAAAAGTTTTGGAAATAATACCGTAAGAAAGTAAATCAAAAGGGCAATAAAAAAGGTATCTTGTGATTTTTCGATTAAATCACTTTTTCTGGTAAGGCCGTCCGTGTTTTTATAAAATAATGAAATCGTGAAATTGTACGTTTCCCATTTTAGTACATTTATTCGACCTCTCTAAAGTACAATCCAGACAACTTGAGCTTTTTGAGAAACACTACACTTTTAAATTGGAGCAAGTTTACTAGGAAAAAACGTGTCCACAGACTAGAACAAAAGAGAAAGAAAAAAAAATTCACATCTTAGTAAAACCAATACCTCGGTCGCTACGCTCGGAATCTAAAAAGAAAATCAATTACTAAAGAATTCGCTAACCGATTTAATATAATATAGAACTTTTAAATCAATAACATTTACTGTTCTTGATTAAATACAATTTTCACTGTCTCGATGAGCAAGCGCGATATTTTAGAAAGTCATTATCTAAACCGTTTAGGCTTAACGGAACAATGATTAATGTGAATCAGTACACAATATTTACGTATACGAATATCTGCATGGTAACGACGACGATGTAGATGACAACAATTTAAAACTAACCTATACAAAAAAAAACCCGGTAAATTTTCATTCATACATCGATCTTAAAAAGGTGTAAAATTATATCGTGTTATAATATACTGCAATCGAAAGCGATACCGTGTAAGTATATTGTGATCGACGAGCTCACGTGTGAACCGAATAATCAATATCAAGTGCGATAACATAAGAACCTATTAGGAATCGCGACAATGTGTATAATTTGAAAAAAAAAAAAAAGCGAATACAGGTGGCGGATGTACTATTTTTAAAAGTGGGAAGTTGGGACGGTTGCATACACATAGAGTTATTTAGTTTATTACTGTACGAAACGATGAGTCATTGTTAACGAAATACGATTTTCAGCGAATTTCGCGGGTTAGACGTGTTTGATCGCCAAGTACGATTGATAATGAAGAACCGCGTGTAAAATTTTCAAACATTTCTGGCTCAGCAGAAAACAATTTTATCCATTTCGTGACGAATTCCTAGAACATTCTTTGAACATTTTACCGCGCATAGAAATGCCAATCGTTTTTTTCCCCCCTCCGTAAATGAATGCGTTCCGAGAAATAATTTTATAAAAACGACACGTGAAAATCGATAGGCACGCGACTTTTCTGGTAGAAGAATCGTTTGCGGTTATATGAAAAAAAAAAAAAATCTAAAAATCGGATCGCCGTGCGACGCGGTACATCGCTCGAAAACTATAAACAACGGACAGTGCGAAAAAAAAATCATACGAAAATCACGATCATTCACCGTGCGTATACTGCGTATATTATTACTATACATTTGCATAAAAACGTACTCACGTGCAAATTTCCGGTATTTCCGCCGACACCATGATAGAAATGAATAGTAAAAAAAAAAACCCAAAATAAAAAAAAAAACCCCGTGTGTGTTCCGGACCACTGTTGACCGTATAAAATATTGTGACGGGTAGTGCTGGAGCAGCGGAGGCGCACGCGACCGACGGGTGACGAACGACTGGTCGGCAATCGCGGACAATCGCGCGCGGTTCGACCGAGTGAAAGTGAACGGACGCGGCGTCGGCTGTTTCGATTTTGTACCCGTCTCGGGTACCGTCCGGGCGACGGCGGCGACGGTGTTTTGCCACTACACGGTCGTCGCTAATACTCGTAATAATAATAATAACATACGGTATTAATGTTGGTATTACGATGATACCGCGGTGGACAAGTGAGATTTCGAGGGACAAGCAAAACAAAAAAAAAAAAAATGCTGTCCTAGAACAATGAGGACGGGGTGCAGCCGCCGTTGCGGGCGAGGGGAGTTGAGAAGGTTGGGTACAGACGGCAATTTAATGTACATCTGTGAGCGACGATTAACCATTGCTAACGAAAAACCGATTCTGAGCGGAGTTCAGTTGATCGTGACGCTCGTTTAATATTTCACCGATTTACCCGGTTTTTCACATTTGGTGGGAAACTGGTTTCCCTAAAGTTTCTTCCCGGTAAATCGGAAAAGAATTCCTAGTAGAAAAGTTGTCCACAGAAAAAAAATAAACATCATTGTAAAACCATAGGCTTCTTCGCTCCACTCAGAATCTAAAATATGTATCAATTGTTTGAGTTGACGATTAGACAGTTAATATTTTTTGAAATTATCATTATTTACTACCAGTCCATGTAAAAATAATTAGTAAGAGGACTCTAAAAACAAAAAAAAAAAATAAAAATAATAGAGGAGCCCTTCCGTCTTCCTCCATAATTCAAGCACCGACGTCAGTACTCTACTAAAGATTTCTCATTAGAGGAACCATTAAAGAAAAAAAAAACCTAAATTTATTTAGTTTATTAATTATACCCGTGGTCGTGCATTAATAAGATCTATGGCGACGACACCGTTGCCTTTTATTAACAGTATCCGTGTTACTTTGTTATTGCAATAATTGTAATTATTATTTTGTTTTAAAGAAAAATTATGTACACAACTCTGATGCGTTTGGCCCTAGTCTGGTGTGTTTTACGCATCTTTGTAACTTTGTATAACACTTTTTTATTTTTCACCAAGTTTTACTAATTCTTTCCGTTAGATTAAACAAATGTGAAAAAAAAATGATTGAACAAATTATTTATATAAATCAATATAATTTACAAAACTTTACCTATGACGGACACGGTAATATTTTATATTTCATACTTTTAAATTTTAATGATATTTAATTAAAGCGTCCGTTTGTTTTTATAAATGTACTAAAAATTATATCAGAATGAATGCACGTTACAACTTAAACGGCATTTAATTCGAATGCCTATATATCTGGTACAATTTTTCAAATTCATCTATACTGAGTACATAATATAATATATAAATTACGTGTTTAAATTTTAACATTTTAGTTTCCCAGTTTAGCAAGAGAGCTATGAGTATTACTAAGATATTTATTTTTTTTCTTTCTTTGTTCTAATCTGTGGACACGTTTTTTTCCTAGTAAACTTGCTCCGTTTTTAACAAATTTGCTGAAAGATCAAGTTATCTAAATTGTACTTTTAAAAGGTCAGTTTTTGATGGGAAAAAACGTAGGAAAACATTTTTTAATCAAAAAATCACAAGACACCTTTTGTGTTACCTTTTTGATTTACTCTTTTACGGTATCATCACCAAAACTTTTGAGATTTTAAGGAATTTTAATTTTTGGGAGTTTTTTTACTGTAATTCAGTTATAAATACACGTAGAGACTTGAAATTTGTTAATAATACTTGTATGGACTTACCTAGACGTGGTAAAATTTTCAAAATCATCGGACGACTTTTTTTTTTTAATAAGCGTTTTGAAATCAAATTTAAATGAAAATAGCAAAAAAAAAAAAAAAAATGACGGCACTTCAAATTATGTATTACCGAACTACGCTCGGAATCGTCTTTCGTCAAGCAATTGATAAGCAATGGTTTATCGTTGCTTACAGATATAAATTAAATAACCTTATGTATCCTACCTTCCCGACTTCTCACCTACAACAGTGGCCGCTCCCATCCCTAGATCAGCTATTTTTCTTTTTCTTTTTTCTTTATATATTAGTAAAATTTTAAAATGTTAAGTATAACGATGTTGGTTGATACATTATCTATTTTTGATAATTATATGAATAGCAAATATTAATTGTTCAATAAAATAAACACAACAATTAATTATTAGCCTCTTTAAATTAAATTACTTACGTACGAAAATGGTGTATTTTATGAAAAAAAAAAGTGCTTAGTTACTAATTATTATTACAGTTGAAACTTGGAAAATATAAAAAAAATGTATGTGTACATAAAAACGGTCAATGCGAAGGGACTTCAGCCCCTTAGCCCCCCTGCGTACGCCACTAATTAGTCCGCTGGCTTGTTAAAAAAAAAATAATAATAAAAAGCGATCGAGAACAGCCGTGACATATTTTATTTTTATTATTGTCCTTTTCGACTTGGACCGTGTCCGTTTTGACTACCGATGCGTGGGACGTTGTGGTATCGTCGCCGGGCTCGTAAACGAGTCGGTTTAGAGACGATCCAGCAGACCGTAATAGCTGTTTCGTTAACGCTGCATTACCGCGAACGGGCCCTCTCAGTGTCCGTATGGAAATTTATGAGCGCTATGGAAAATTATGCGGAAAAAGGGGAGGGATGGGGAGGGAAAAACCACGTTAAAACCCAAAGAAATATTTTACGTTTTATATATATATATATATACGTTTTACGTGTATAAGTTTTTCGTACGGTAAGAACTGCACGTGTTTTTTTTATTTTATTCGATTTTCGAATAAAATAATTGTGTATATTTTTCAGTATTTGCGAAAGTATTCTGTTATTTCAGATTACTGGTGTAACGAAGAAACTATTAGTTTCTTATTATTAAAGAAATTATTAATTTGGTATGTGACGTAATTTATTTGTTCTCGGAAAACACATTTCATTGTTAAGTGAAAACGCACCGATTTTCGTCGCCATAAGTACATGAAAAATATGTGGATTTTTTTCCCAGGCCAATACATTATTAAATTTTATTTAAACCGATTCCTCATTAGTTTTTCCGAAAAAATTGCGCTTTAGATTCTCCCCCCCCCCCGAAAACACTTAAATTTTCAATAGGACGTTTTTTTTTTCTCGAAACAGAAGCGTATTTGCGATTTTGGCGCCCTAGGTACACAAAATGTTCAGCGCCCCATTTCCATTTCCATTTAACAACACGGGTATACTTACAAGATGCTAAATGACGTAGTTTCTCACAGTACCCCTTAATAATTAATTAAATACGAACGAATACCTGCAAATTTATAGATTTTCCCGATTTTTCCTATTTTTTAGTAAAAATCCTGAGAAAATCAAAAAATGACCACCTTAAAGTTCCTTACTTTTAGATGAAAGGTTTTAGGGTAGAAATCTGACCTTTCCAGTCAGATTTCCTTTTCGAAAAAGTATTTTCGATTTAAATCGGAGCAAAATTGCTGGTAGAAAAGTTGTTCACAAAAGTCGGTGTTTCTTACCCGACAGTTTAAGAAACGATACGCGCAGCTCTAAAATATTAAATTTAAAATTAACTAGTTACCAAATTACCTAGAGTACATATTATCGACAATACATCATATTGTAATAATTTGATGAAGAACCTAACGGTAGAAGAATTTAATTATTGTAAAAAAACCAATTTTCGTAGGCATTTTTTTTTTCTTTTGCCTAATTCCAAACATTAAATAGCACGTCAACGGGTCGACGGAAATCAAAAATTCCAAGACTGAAATTTTTTTTTAAAATTAATACTCTGTATATTTATGGAATTTTTTTTTTATAAATTTTCGTTTGAAAACCAATACAGCCGGGGTTCATCCTCAAAAATAATGGTGACACAACTAATGATAATGTATCGTTGTAAAATTGTTGAAGAAAGTTTAGTACTTTCCGAGACGATCAGTGTACACCCACTCGTACATAACCTTGTATATAATGTTTGTAGCGTTTTTCAGTCGTTACTAATAATAATTATTATGTACGGAATCGACAATGAATTAATATTATGAGGAACTTGTTTTTTTTTCTACTTTATGATTTTCAAAACGTTATTCCCAAGGGCGTAAGTGAATACAAGGTTATAGGGTGCGTTAAATCTTTTATGTGATTTCGCAAACACACGTATACCCGTACCTGTAATATGATGAATTATGCATATAATATTCCGTATTATGATTACGTTCATTTTTCCAAAAATTATAGATGTTAATAATTGATAACAATATAGTGTTATTTAGATGATATTTCATTGTTTATTCGCTATCGATCCTGAAAAGCGTTCGACCGAACATTTCTTTGCTAAATTAAAATTAAAAATTACATTAAAACTATCGCTGTAACCAAAAACTAAATTATATGTAATTACTTTTAACGAATGTTAAATGTGTAGCTTTAAACGCGTATACAAAATCGTTACGCTATGCAATTTTTTTTTTTTTTTTTTAACCACTAAGTACAAACTTAAGAAGAACATTGAACCATGTATTATATTATTGAATACTTTACTATAACTTAAAAAAATTGTATAGGACTAAATGGAAGTAGTAGTAGCAGCATACTCAAAATTCCGTGTTTTTTACGAGTTTTGTAAACTTTAAGCGGTTATAGGAAAAAATGACCTTCCGCTCATATTTTGAAGGAAAAATAAAAAAAAGACCAGTTTAATGTACAGTTTAGTTTTTTTAGAAAAATTCGCTACCACCTAAGAGTTGATAATTCGGAAGATTTCGCTCTGAAAATCTGTAAAAATTGAATTATTATTAATTTATCTTTGTACAAAAAAAAAAAAGTCTCGAGGGTCGTGTGAGTTGACCCCTACAAACGTGCCACCGGGGTAGTAACGCAGCCATAAAAATATTTCATAGGCGTGGGAACTAATCTAGGTTAGAAGTCCTACAAAAAAATTACTATGAAGTTTTTGACTGGACTAAGATTTCTGGTATAGAATAGTTGTTAACAAAAAAAAAAAAAAAAATTGCATTTCTATGGAAGAACCAAGTAAAACCAATACATTCCCCGCTCCGTCCAGAATCTAAAAGATTTCGGAG